GTATTAAGACCATACTTGGTCTCAGTGATATTATGTGTGGTTTTTAATTTCATCCTTCTGTCCACTCTCTCTGTTACTTGCAGATTAGTCATAATTTCACCAAACTCTTTGTTTTGAAAACATATGTCAAAGCACCATTATTAAGTTTAGTGGGTGCACGGTGACTGTGAAGACCTGTCGTTTTAAAGTTTCTGAAGCCTTTTTTATGCAGGCCATGTGTGGCATTAAAACAGAAAAGGAACTTGCACTGACTTAGCATTAGGGATTTTACTTCAATGCAAGATATTTGCTAATGTTACCATACTCATCTGGTTCACTATAAAACCAAATTCAGCTTGTATTCATTAATTAATTCAAATGTCTAAAAATGTACTGATATTTTACATATCATCCCCCAGTAAATGAATAGAACAGATGAACTGAGATCATTTTAAAAATAAGGATTGGTTTTAATACTAAAAAATTGTGGTTTGTGACCTGAAGTCTGTCAACCATGGATATGGTGGAACGTTTCCACCATTGAGATGCTTGGATAGGCCTTTAGTTAGGCAACCTTCAGTTCCTGCCTGTTTGTTGGTCTCTTTGTCTTTAGCTCTTCAGTACATAAAATCTTGTTCTACTGGACTGAGATTGAGTGACTAACTTGGCCATTGAAAAATACTCAATTTCCCTGCCTTTAGAAACTTTTGAGTCTTTTTTGCAGTTTTGGGTCATTACCCATTTGCACTGTGAAGAGCTGTCTGATCAGTTTTGCAGCATTTGGATGAATCTAAGCACAGAATATGTCCCTGTACGCTTAACAGTTGATCCTGACACTTTTATCAGACGTCTAGTAGCCTTATACCTCTGGAAGTCATACAAGCCAGTCTCTGTGTCTCCAGGTGTCTCTTGATTGTAGACTTTGACAATGACGGTGATTTTAAATGTTTTTAAATTTCAACGGACAAGCACTCCTGCCTTGCTTGCCCTGGTAGAACACCACTGGACCTCACTGTATATTTACTTTGGTTGAATCCTGAATAGATTTAACCCGAAAGTCCGGTTCAGTGTAGAGGCACTGGCACTTCTCATTGTGGATTTTTTGGATGGAAAGTATTGCTTTATCTTCTTTTTTGTTTTTTGTTTTTTTCTTGAATGTGGTAAAGTAAGTAAACAGTGGTGAGGTGGTCATTTATAAACCATATAAAACTTCAGCTTTAATATATGGGGAAACCGTGACACCCCACACAGCAAGTAGCCAGTCTGTCACTGAAGTTTCCAAAAAAGGCAGAAAAGAAAACACCGAACAGAAGATGGTCAGATCGTCATGTCCCAAAAATGCTTCACCAAGCCTGACTGTTTCAGTCTTCCCAAAACTCGTAAGACATCACCAAATAGTGTGGTCATTTTGGAAAAATCCAGAACAACCATATTTGACCAGCACAACTCAGTTACAAAAACATTTAAGCGGCATGGTCGAAGATGTCAGAGTAAAAAACAGAGTCAATGTAGTTCAAGCAAGAGTGACTGAACCTATTTTAATATCTGTCAGATGAGTCATCACCATGGAGCCGAGCTGAATAATCGGTTGCTTAGTTATATTAGCATATTTGGACAAACATGTCACTCATCATTTTGATATAACCGGGATGTACTGTCAGACCTAAAGACATATGATTAACTTACAGTAAAGTAATTTCCAAACAGTCAACACAGGTAATTGTTTGATTATTTTAATGACTAGAAAATATGTTTACTTAAAGTGTTTTATTTATCTATCAGGTCAAATAAAATTTGAGGAATTTGGATAATTGCTTGTATTTTGATTATGTTGTAACTTGAAGCCAGAGTTATTATTGGAAACTAAAAAAAAACAAGACATTACCGTGGTTAAAATCTACGCACCATAAGTGACATGTGGCAGAATATTTAGAGTACATCAGAGTGCTGTCAGAAAATAGCAATAGTTTGTTAACATCCACAAACATTCAATTATTCCCATGAAGATCCCTCTTTTAGCATAGTTGGAGCCTTCCAATGTGCTGGAGTGAAGCAGTGTCCATCATCAGCCATAATCACACTCTCCCCCTGAGGATTAAAGGGAAATGAAGTGAGGGTGAGATTTCAATTTCACATTTCTTTCACACCTAATACCTTTCTTGGGAAATTATCGCAATATAATAAATGGGTCTTCAGTTGTTTTTGGACAAAAAAAAATCTTCTGCTTCGGGCCAGCTGCTGAAAGTGAGTGTTGGAGTTTCTTGTTAAAATATTTATTTCTAGATGAGATTCATATTTAACTGAAGGCTACAGCACAACCTCTGGTTTTTGACATAGATATAAGAGACAGTTACATGTCGGGGGGTGGAGGGTTAACAATGACCCTTTAACTTTTACTCAGTTGTCAGTTTATTTCACCTTGGCATACCGGCCTTGTCTTGTCAGTTTGCATCACTGGGCTTTTCTCTCATTTCGAGCCCTGCGGTGTATGTCATCATTTTGTTTCGTGAGGTCAGAGATCTTCAAATTATAAGGCAGTTGTTATGGTTTGTCAACATGCCTGGGGTTGCCACAACTCATATGGAAAAAAAAGTATAAAAGATGAGTTCTTTCTCTATTTAGGGTCATCTCCATGTGTTACAGTCGTCTTTTGCTTTTATTTTGCACCTTGCTCCCTACAGTTGACTAATTAAAGAACAGTGTGATTATTTAAAAAAAAAATGTTTTGCCTTAAATAAAATCTTTTTTCCCCCATAAATGCTGAGTCTCTATTCAGTTGAACACTGTTGGTGTAAGGCGAGGCTTAATCCGTGTGTATAAATCGGCCACATGTGGCTGGCTGGGTTTTCTGTGTCACAACAGTTGAATACGTCACAGCGAGGCAAAACAACTTCTTATTTTTCATTCTTGTTGTTCTACACATCCAGTTCATATGTGTCACTGCTGGAGGGTTTTTTTTCTTCTACTGCTTGAGTCAGAGACATGATGAATTAAAACAAAAGCAGCAGTAACTGTTTGAAGTCTGAGGAGAAATGTTATTATGACTTCTTCTTTAAAGGTCAAGTTGAGCCACAGGCATGATAAAGTACACAGAGACAGGGGGAGGAAGGGCCAGAGGAGGTAAAGCAGAGAGAAGTGTTGAAATTGCAAATCCATCCTCACGCATGGTGCTGACGCACGGCAGAAGTCTCCAGTGGCTTCACCATCACAAGATTTGCAAGGTTTGGGCCGTTATTGTCACCAGTCTACTCTAATGAAAGGATTATAATATAAATACTGAGTTCTAATCTGTAGGACCTGAGGTGAGCTTTGAAGTGAAAAGGTATCAGTATTAAGTCATGGGAGTAGAATGCCAAACACATTACAGTTCATTTCTCAACTTTCCTCAGATCACAATATTCTTAGCTGGGCTTGATTATGAAATTGTGTGTAATGTAGTAAAGGCTTGGTTCGGTAATATAGTTCTCCACCTTAAGGCTTAAACTTAACCTCTGCCACCTGGCTGTTAAGACCCCTCTGAGTACGTGCACCAAGTAGGAGATCTCAGAAATGTAGCTCATTTCCACGCAGCTGACAGCGAGGATGACAGATCTTGTAGAGAGTGAATTCAGGGTTTGATTAAGAATGTTATTGTAAAAAAATCTGTCTTCAAACACTAAGAAAAGACTGCAGTGCCGAGAAGCACATAAGGTCTTGACCAAGGTCCCCCCGTGCCCTTAGACCTCAGGAGTAATTTGTTTTTCTTTAAACACATTGAGTAAATGTTCAGCATGTTGAAGCAACTACCCAAAGTGTAAATGTTCAAATTTTCAGTGTTTCAGTCTGGTCGCTACTCCTCTGGGGGATCACTGACCCCGAATCTCACTCTGCTGCTTGCCCCCGCCCCATCTGTCTTGATAGTCCCATGACATGCTTTGTCTTTCTCATGTTTTCTCCCCTTCCTTTTCAACTGTTGCTAGTTTGATGTTGTGCTGGCAGCAGGGTTGACACAGAGTTTCTATGCTGTAGAAAGTCAGCCCCCCTGCCTCGGGAAGGGGAGAAGGCTTTAGATCTCCCTCTGTATTTATGATTCTGCTCCTGTATTATGACCAAAATCTCAGCTTCAGATAAGAAGTGGACGGATGATCTGTGAATAACCTCACTGTAGCACAGGTGTGATGGGCGTTTGGCCAGACCACTTGGTTTTTGTACTGAATGTTTGTGGATTTAGGTAAATGGTAAATGGACTGGTTCTTATATAGCGCTTTTCTACTCTTCTGAGCACTCAAAGCGCTTTACACAACTTGTGCATTCATTTAGGTGGAGGCAGCACCCAGTAAATGCTGCATCACTGCATCATGCATTAATTAAAACCCAGTCAGCTTATTGCAGTGTGTATTTTGTGTATCGGTGAAAGCAAAAAAGCACTGTTCAGGCTGCCTCTTTACATATTTTTAGCCCCGCTACCATGTCGAGGCGCACAGTTTAAGGAATTATGGGGAAAATGGTTGGGGGGGAAATTGTCACCACTCTAAAGTTGTTTGACTGTCAAAAGAAAGGAAAGCATCTGTTTATTACTGTTATCCTGAGCCTGTGTGTTTATACCGAGCCACACACATGGATGTGCTCCACACTGAAGTGATGGATATGCAGCTCAAATGGTTGGGGGCCAAAATATGTGCCTCTTATTTAGATGTGTGGAGAAAAGAGTCTTCCACATTCAACCGCACAAGTACACACGCACAAACAATCTGGTCACTACACACACTGCTGTAATAATCTTCCACATCAGCTGTTTTCCACCAGCAAGTTTATTGTGTGCGACCTTCCATTTGTGCTTCCAGCAGCAGCAGGCCTGTTCGGCAACAGTAAACAGGAACTTTGTTGTTCTTTTCCCCCCCTACCAGAATTTCCCAAACACAGTCCTGTTGTTTACTTGCCTTTTGATCGGGGTAAATAAAGGGCAAGAAGGCTAACCTCTGATGTCTGCTAACTTCTGTCTGTGTTTTTGTGTGTATGTTCTGCTCTGTGCTGTCCTCCAGCTGCTGCACATCTGCATCGAAGGATGGGGGAACTGGCGCTGGTCAGAGGCCTTCAGCGTGGACAACGTAGGGACTCTGCTTAGGACCATTCAGTACAAAGGACGCACCGCCTCTCTCATCATCAAGGTCATACAGCTCAATGGTGTCCAGAAACAGGTACTGTCACTTTTTAGTAATTACCCCTTTACTGACTTCTTTGTTTGTAAAGACTTAAATAAAAGAAATATAACTCATTGGCCATGTAGTTGTTATGGCGGGTATTTTCCGATGAAGGTCAAAGGCTTCCAGAAAGTTAAACATCTTACTTTTCTTGTCGTTGGATCAGAGTTAATGCGAATAGATTTTAGCAGATCTTTATAATTAACTGCAGCGATAAAAGGAAAGATGGTGAACAGCATTACCAACCCCCAGATTTCATTTGTAGAAGATTCCAGGTGCAAGACTCTTTATAATTCACAAGCAATGATTTATGGCCCAGATACACCGCAGTAACAAAACAGGACCAGAGTTCTCAACATAATCAAGACTATAGGGATCCTGCAGATTATCTTGCTGCTAACCTGTTAAACATTTACACTGAAAGCAGGAACATGTTTGCTGCATTACGCCTGTTGATTTCTTCTATGTGACACAAAAGCCTGGCTTTTTTCCCAGCACTCATTTCAGGATGAGTGCTTTTTAATCTCCTTTTTTTCCCCCCTGCTTTTGTATGTTATGATTTAGTAGTTGCTTAGCTAACAACAGACTGTCTTTGTCAGTTTTTGTAATCTGTTTTAGAGCAATAAAACAAAAGCTTATGAACTTTAAGCCATCCAAAAACACAATGTGTCCCATCAATCCACAGAGAAGATCACAGCAAATCATAAACCAGCATAAACCAAATACATACACCAACTGTCTGTTTTTTTTTCGCTCTAAGAAAAGGAATGAATCATGCTGGAATTTTTCCACAAATAAAAAGCAGAGTCTTCATATTCCTGAAAATGCAGAGATGCCATCAGATTGTAGCTGTGACACTTTGTTATGTAAACAGTGTCAAGTGTCACACACATCTCCCACTCATCCTCCAGACAAAACAGACTCGGCTTCTCGCATTCCTTCTACCATCTGTCCCGAACTTTGATTACATCTTGTTTCCATTGGATGCAGTGATAGAGTATGAACATTGGTCATATCCAATTCACAACAAAAACCCCAGAACGGGACGGCAGCTGCCACTACAGAGAAACGCATGAGTATACCTCAGTCTGGGTTTTCTTTTGGGAGGGTGGCGTCCTCAGCGCCACACCGTGTCCTCTCCGTTACCCTCTTTCTTGCTTCTCTATGGTCTTTTCATTGTCACCTTTTTAGTTCATATTGGCACCTATTGTTAAAAAAGTTTATAAAGTGCAGTTTATATTAATCTCCCTCATACAAGCCCATACGCACATGCGTCTGCACATGGATGCGTGAGTGGGAGAACACTTGTAAAAGCACGTGCATTAGGCCTGCTACTGAAAATTACTGTCAGGATCACTTAATCATCGATTATTTTTTGATCAGTGGTTCATCTTTAACATGGAAACAGTGAGTAAAGCTTCATGTTGTTTCCATTACAGTGTGTTCAAAAAGAGAGGTGAAACAAAAAAAAATCTTCTCTATGAAACCAGCTTTCTCTCATTTTTGGTATGTGCTGATATGATAGTCTGTCTATATAGTTAAATGGAAAAGAGAGTTTTTCACAGGACTTACGAGCCATGTGATGTTAATTAAATGGTCTTGTTTAACTGATCATTGGCAGCTCCGAAGCATTCATTGCCGCAATCCTCCCAAAAGCAGACATCCCAGCAAATGTCTACAAAAAACCTTCAAAAGCTGTATCTCAAACTCTACGGACATCAATTAGCATGTTAAAGGTTAAAGTTCGTGACAGCACAATTAGAAAAATACTGAACAGGTATGGTTTGTTTGTTAGGGTTGCTTGGAGAAAGCCTCTTCTTTTCTCCTCTTCTCTCTGAAAAAGAACATGGTAGCAAAGTTACTATGTTTCAATTGCATTTGAACACACTGCAGTACTTCTGGAGTCGTGTCCTTTAGACAGAGAAGACCAATGTTGAGATGTCTGGTCCCAATGCCCAGGATGACACATTTGGTTGTGTTTGGTTTACCATCTGTCAAGCACAGTGGTGGAGGGGGGATGATTTGGGCTTATTTTGTGGACACAGGACCTGAGCACCTTACAGTCAGTGAGCTGTGAGGTCATCTGTCCAACAGCTAAAGCTTGGCCCAAATTGGGTCATGAAACAGGTCAAACTACAGACGGAGTGAAACAGAACAGAATCGCTGGTCCAGTCAGAAATCAACCTGATTGAGGTTTTTTTTTTAAACTCACTGATTTATTTATTTTTTAACTGTGAGTCCAGATCTTCCATGCACATGCATATACTACAAGTTTTTTTTAAAAAGCACAATAAGATGTTCCACACACAGAGTACAGTGTGTGTGTGTGTGTGTGTGTGTGCGTGCGTGCGTGCACATATGTGTTTACATTGATTCACACATAAGTCATTTCCGTTCCGTTCAGTACAGATTGTCTGTATTTCTGTTAACTGATGTAAGGGTGTGTGTCTGTGTGTCACCTTTGAGATGTGGAATAAAATGCAAATTAAGATGTGAATGCAATGGTTTACACATCATTTAAAGTAAAAATACTGCAAGAAAGAGAGTTTTTTTAACACACCTCTTAACTTCTCTGTTTTGACGTTATCATTACATTCTTTTTTTTTTCCCGTTTAGTACAACATCCAAAACTTGTAAAAATGAGGGATGTATATGAAATGTTAGTGATCTTAAACTGTAAGGCAATGAGGAAAGTTACCCTTTATAAAACAGCTGGGAATCGGAAATTATTCAGGTAGAAGTCAAAGCTGATCTTAGTTGGAAGGCGTCTTTTTGAAAACCGTGACTTTCCTACATTCCCAGTGACATGTTGTAAAACGTATCTCATAATTATAGAAGTTAATTATAAGGCACTAAACATCTTTATTTCTAATTTGGACAATTCTGTCATACAACCCTCTCCCCAGGTAATAATCTGTGGGCGGCAGGTCATGTGCAGCTACCTGACTCAAGACATTGAGCTGCGAGTGGTGCAGCACTACGTGGGGCCCGATAGCCAGACGGTAGTCAGGGAATACTGCGACTGCCTGGAAGCAGGAGCCAAGCTGCCATCCTACGTGCTGGAGGATGCCGAGATGACAGAGCTGTGTGTAAGGGCTCGAGGAGACGATGAGTGGTCACAGGATGTTCAGCTGGAACGGAGGGATAGGAGCAGCAGCAGCTTTGTTGTACAGGTAACACAAGTAGAACTTTAAGTAAGCCTTCCACATATCCACTTAGTTTCCCAGAGTCTTGTCTGTACATGTCTTTACAATCAGAAGCTACATCAGTTACAATTTGTTGCGTGTGCATACTTGCAGATTAAAATGCACACACGTGCTCCGCTGTGCCTGGAGCACGCGTGTGTGTCCAATTGCAAGCTGTCGAATGTGCTAGCCACGCACACAGAGTTTCTCTCACACATTGCTCACACCACTACTTCTGACTGGCTCTCCATCCACACAACATGTTTGGAGCCAGTGACTGGACCACCAACTGTGACCGGATCCTCTTCTCCTGGGTGGCCACAGTGGCAGCGCTTCCATGCTGCTACTCGCTGTTAGAGAACAGATTGAGATCTTCCCCTCAGATAGGCTTACAAAGACCCTGCAACCCATAACCCAGCCATGTTGAGAGGTAGAAAATACTGTTTATGCTCTCTCATAACAACGTTAACCATAGACAGGAAACACTAGCTGATATGTGGGCACAGGGAAAGGCTTTGAAGGCACTTTCACACCACTGGATAAGCGCCAGCTCCATCCCTGCTGTTCTTGCGTTTGCTCTTTATTTTTCTTGTGCTTTTTTCCCTGCTGTTCTTGTATTTGTTCTTTATTTTTGTTGTACTGTCTTTCTTTGTCTGCCTCTCTCTTTTTTATTTATAAGCCTCACGCTGTTAACAGCTAGCCATCTACCACTCCAGCTCCTGTGTATGTGTGTGTGTGTTTTGGAAAAGGGGGTCTGAACATCTCTGACTGCACTCCAGCATGCACTGTTATCTTTTTTCGTAGGATCAGCGATTCATTGCACATCTGGAGGGCTGGCTCCAAATGAGAGAGCTGCCTGAACTAGTAGCTGGGTTCTTAGATCTCTCTATCTGTGCCTGTCTCCTGCTATTTCACTCGCTTGTTTCCTCCCTGCCTTTTACCCTCTCGCCCACACACTGGCTCACTCATCTATCTTCTAGTTAACTCCTTTCTTTACTTCATCATCTGGCATCAAGCCTGTCCACCTGTCCTGCATCCCTCCATTTTCAGTGTTTGTCTTCTTTTTTTTTTAAAAATCTGCCTGATGATTCCCTGTATCAGTAATCCATCTGAGGTATCTCCTTTTTCATATCTCATCTTCCTCATCCTTAAATCTTATTTTCAACATTTTTTAAGCATGTGAGCTTTAGAGAAAGCACAGAAGGTCATCGCGACTTTATCCCAGTGGTGAGCATTTTTCAGTTGATCACTGTAGAGCATCTGTTTGCCAAAGTTTTACTCCCTCATCCAAATAAGTCTATTTTGCAAGGGTCTGTATATTAAAACTGAATGTTCACCCTGTCTCTTTGCTCTGCTCTGCTGACCCTACCAGTAAATGAAGTCCCCAGGCTGTCATAAACTAAACCGCTTGTAATGTGAATTGGCATCCCAAGACTTTAATGAGGAGTGAAGAGTAAATGGGACAAACACCAGTGACACATTAAGAGTGCTTAGTGTTTGGTGGGCACACTCTCAGCCTTTAAATCTTGCAAAGATTTAACTGACTGTAATGGGCCACTATCTGGCACTAACAGTTGTCAGTCCTCACAGCTATAGCATTGTGTTGCAGGGCTTTAGGGAGACTTAACATTTAACTGCTGAAAGAAGCCAAGAAACAAAGATTTTTAGGACAAAACATCATTGATGGAGGCAGTAAATATCATGCCACGGGGTAAAAAGGAGCAAAAGCATTAACGTTTATCCAGTTTATTCATATTTTACATCTTAACCACACAAAAAGTGTCCTTGTTTGCTAGTGTCCTTGATCTCTGTCTATTGTCTGTAGTCTTTACAATAACTGGAATAGATTGCAAGTGTTAAAATACTACATCCACTCTAGTATAGTATAACCCAAATCCCCCCCCCCCACCGTGTAAATTTTAAATACAAACATGTGCCATTATTAGAATTAAAATAAAGGTCATTAAATAAATAAATTAGTATTAAAATAAAGGTCATTTTGAATTTGATGGCTGCAACAGGTTTCAAAAACGTTGGACTAGGGTAGCTTCCCCTTTTCCTTTAACAACAGCCTGTAAAGGTCTGGGAACTGAATAGATCAGTTGCTGGACTTTTGGGAAAGAAATGTTACCCATTCTTGTCCTGGGTCGTATTTTTCATTTCGTGGTGCATCAAATGTTGTCAACTGGAGAAAGATCTGGAGCACCGGCAGGCAGCCGGACTTTTTTACTATGAAACCATGCTGTTGTAGTAGATGCATATGCAGTTTAGCATTGTCTTGCTGAAATACACAAGGCCTTCCCTGAAATAGAGGTTATATGGATGGAAGCATAATGGTAAATGGCCTGTATTTGTATAGCGCTTTTACTAGTCCCCCCTAGGGACCCCAAAGCGCTTTACACACCCAGTCATCCACCCATTCACACAC